ATCTGTTCATTTCTCTGTTCATTCTAGGTGATAGGTATTAAATAATTTCTATTTTTTATTTTTTTGCTAGCTTGAACAATGCTTCAATGAACATATATCATCATTTTTTTTTTGGCAATACCCACAATAAGCACTTCTATGGGGTACATCCTAGAAGTGGAATGGCTAAGGTATGTATACACTTAGCTTTAAAAGATACTACCAGAGTTTTTTGTTGTACCAATTTGCCTTTTTCCAGCAGTGAGAGTTCTCATTACTCCAGAGCCTTACTAGGGAACACGTGGTATTTTCTATCTTTTAATTTTAACCATGCTGGTTGGTTATGCACATCTTTGAGGTAAGAGTCGGGTTCCTTCTCTTTTTCTCATCTTCTCCAGAAAAGTAAATGTCAATTAGATATGGTGGTGCCAGCTGTCATAACTAGCAGACACTTGGGCTCCCTCTCCCAGGATGTCCAAGCAAGTGTTGGCAAGCTGGTACAATATGGAGGAGTTATAGAGGGTGAAGCTGGCAGGCCATGAATTCAATGACTTTTGGAACTTTCAAATATCTAGGGAACTGGTCTTCCAGTTCCTGCACTTGCAGATGGCATGTGTGAACCTGGAAGACAATCAGTCTTCCACATGGATGTCTTTGTGAGATCCAGGCTTGACTGGTGAAGTCCTCAGTCCCATCTATCAGAAAATCCAGGGTCTCCTTCCACATAGCTCATGACTCCTGAGGTATCGACTGGCTGTCTCATGCTGGAGAACCTCAGAAATTGTAGCTACAGTTATCATGAATGAGAATATGATGTAAAGAAGTGAAGAAGATTGTACAAGAAAGCTGTCAGTATAAGGGGTATAACACTGAAGGTATTTCTTCTAGTACCAGGTTAATAAGTCCTGACTGGTCATGAATAAAGATCAGGTGGATACAAACTTGTAAAATGTTAAAGAAACCTTCTAAAAAGCCAAACATAACCTGAAGGCCAGCTCTGTGGAGCTATGTTCCAGGGGTGCCATATGCATAGTCAGTAATGGAATGTGAAGGCCTATTTCATGGCCAAAGAGGAAAGGCTGGGGAAGAAGCCTGGTGCTCACATGCAGAGAGATCTGTGGGTCGGGAGTTTGTGCTGCATTCCCGTAAGACATCTATACCTGCTCATGACTTGACAAGTATCATAAATACTGTGAGGAAGGAAGTCAAGCAGAAATTCTTGAACACTGCATTTAGGTTCAAACAGGCTTGGAGGCGAATCAGGGACATGGTTTGTCTGATATAAGCAACATCTGGTGGAACTTCTGCTCAGCTGAGGGTACAGTTATTCTCACAGGGTGGCCTTCGAAAGTTCTAGATGTTTTAGGCACACTGTGCAGAGGTCACCTATTGCCCATGCTCACTCTGTTACTTGAAACTGGATTTAGATACCCATGCAGCTTCTGACTCATTCACAGCTCTAATCAATTCTGTTTCCCTCTCCACTTAGCACTGTCACTCTAGGATGGTAGAAAACACCTGCATGGTGGTTCTGATCACCAAGTGTAAATGGAAAACAAAGTTGAACCCCTAAAGAAAGTGGCTATCCAGTCTGATTTTTTTTTGTGTGTGTGTGTGGGTGCTCCACTACTGAGCTATACCCCAGCCCTTTTAATTTTTATTTTGAGACAGGGTCACACTAAGTTGCCCAGGGACTGGCCTTAAATGTGCAATCCTCCTGCTTAGATCCAGGTCACCAGCTATCCAATCTTAGAGCAGGCAGGACTAGGGTTTTATTCAGATAGTACAGACTGTGGTGATCTGAGCCTAGAGCAGGAGAGAGGAGGTGCTAGGTCTTTCTAGGAAGAGCCTCAGCATACTGAAGGCAGCCATGACACATGACAGCCTCTCACTTGGGGTAAAAGCATATCTGGGCTAGCTCCTTCTGGAGTGGGAGCAGAGAGGGCTGGACAGTGTGATTTCCCTCATGGGATTGATGACATCACTGTCAACTGCTGGCCTGATTGGGAGTGGGAGAGCCAACAGGCAACAAAATCTTCAGCCCTAAAAGAATGGGGCTACAATCAGAGCCTAAAAGAATCTCCTTCACTTTGAGAGGCTAGTAGTAGTGGCAGCAGATAATATGACAGGAACTCTCAGCATACTTGGTAAACTCCAAAAACTCAGGAATTTCTACAGTGTCCTGAAGGACTTTTGTTCTAGAACTACCAATATCTTTTTAGGAATTACATTGATGCTTGGACAAAATGGGAGCTCAGGGGCTCTAGAACACTAGAATTCTAGAGGTTAGCACAAGGGCTACTACCCTGTTATAAGTGGCTTGGGACCATCTGTGTGAAGTGGGGGGTCTATACAAGGGGTCTATACAAGGTTGGGCTGAGAAAATGAATGGTTCATTGTGTGTCGATCTTTCTGTTCAGCAGGCCCTGTGCTTTTATTGCTAGCAGATGGTCAGGCACTCAAAGGTCATGAGACACAATGGCTTATTGGATCTGCCAGAGGTAGGTATGTCTCTACATGTCACAGTGCTACCAGTATGGCTGAGGGGAGAGGTGCCCTAATTCTGTGAATCAGACTACAGATACAAAAGAACCTGGGCTGTGGGACTGGATGGGAACCTTACATGATGGTCACATTTGAGCTGTGGCAGTTATGACAATGGGTTCTATCCACAGAAAAGAGCAAGTGGCCAAGAAACCTCAAATATAAGCTGAGGTCTCTGCTGATAGAAAGCCTTGGTTTCAAGCTTGAAAAGAAAGTCTACTATATCACAGCTGGGCGTGCTACAAGCCTTAGGCCCCGGGCCAGATGTGCATTTGGAACACAGGTGCAGCTCTTCTACTTCTGTGTCTAAATGCTCTTCTGCCAGGTGGTAGATTTAGTGGGATCCTTGGCAAGGGTGTGACAGGAAGGTAGTAGGTATGATGGTGATGCCACAGGATCATTCAGGAGGCAGAAGTGACATGAAGTAGTAATCAGACTTCTAGCTGGAACAAATACAGAAGGCAGGAAAACACTGGCCCTTAAAAAGATCCATTACCCAAATATGTTGCCAGGATGAGACTCAGTCTTCCCCATGGCCAGGGCCCAGGCAAAAGAAGAGCATGGGACTGGCTTCAGTAGAGCCCCAGGGGTGAGGTTATTTCCAGGAAGAGCAGTACACAGAACCCTGGTGGCCTACTCTGACAACACACCTGGAAAGGGCCAGCCTGTTTTGGAGAACTGTAGAAAGTAGGAGTTCAGGAGGCCAGGAGCCCACACACATTTCTCAAAGTTCCTGTTCTGAAAGGGTAGGTGGCGGGGTGGGAGAACAGTGAGAACCCACAGTGGGGCTGTTGAGAACCAACAGAGGGGTTGTATATGTGGGTCTATGGTGGGGCAGGACTCTCACCTCTGTGTAGTCAACGAGTAAATATTAGAAGTCGCATCCTAGGGCACAGGGCTTGGGAAGGAGCAGGGAAGATTTGATCTAGTGTAGACAGAGATCCTAAACTGGACCACCGAGCTCAAGGAAGCCAGACAGGAAGTGAGTCAAGATACAACCAGAAACGCAAGAAGAGCCCAAAGAGCAGATGAAGGAAGAGTGTCAGAAGGAGGAGAAAAAAATCTAGAAGAACTCACTACTAACTTGAGGGAGTCAGACATAACTCGTTTACAGTCTTTCATTCACCACTATCCCCAGGACCTACTGTAGTGCCCAACACATACTTGTGCTCAGTAAATACTTTTTTTTTATGTGTTCCAATGAAACTTTATTTATAGATGCTAAAATTCAAAATTCCATATAATTTTTATGTGTCATGAAATATTTTTTAACCATTTAAAAACATAAAGACCTGGGCTGTAGCTCAGTGGCAGAGTGCTTGCATATATGAGGCACTGGGTTTGATCCCTAAGGCCACATAAAAATAAACAAATAAAATAAAGACATGCTGTCCATCAACAATTACAAAATTTTTTTTTAAAAACCCCTCAAAACATAAAGACCATTCTTAGTTCACAGGTGGTAGACTGAAATTGATGGGTACAGTTTCCTGACCCCTGGTCTGAAGTGAATACTTGGTTAAAGGAATGGTTATCTGGATGTGCGAGGCACACAGGAAGGAATGGACGTGCTGAGATGATTCTGTCCATTCCTTTCTTTTACAGATGAGCTGAGGGAGGCCTTGACACTGAAGCAGGGGGAGTTGCGGAGTTGGGAAACTCCGCTCTTTAGGGCCTCCCTCTGCTTTTCCATTTTGAACACTCCTCTGGTCATCTTGTTAAGGGCAGGGCATGACCAGATTGGTGACTCTCTTTAGAATAGGGTTAAAAAGGGTTTCTTGAGCTGGGGTTGTGGCTCAGATATAGAGCAATCGCCTATAGAGCAATCGCGAGGTCCTAGGTTCAATCCTCAGCACCACATAAAAATAAGTAAAATAAAGGTATTGTGTCCAATTACAACTAAAAAAAAAAAAAAAATATATATATATATATATATATATATATTTTTAAAGGGTTTCTTAAAGGACCTATAGAAAATAGTAAAATTGTCCTTCCACTTTGCTGCTGTCCTGTGAAAGTAGCCACAGACAATTCATGAATGAGTGTGTGTGGCTGCGGCCTAATCCTAATTCCTAAACTGCAGGAAAACTGGTGGCTTGTGTAGGCTGTGTTTGCTCATTCCTGCTTTGGAACGGCTATTAAAAGCAGGTATCTCTCTTCATTTCTTTCTGAAGCTGACCATTTGTCAGAGTGACTAACACGGCCAGGCCACTCCGAGACGAGCCCTGAGATGAAAACCTGCGTCTTCCCTTGGCATCTTTCAGGAAAACACACAATAACAGAGGGCAAACACTTTTCCAGTGGTGAGCACTTTTTTAGAACTTACGATATAATAAGAGATATCCAGACAAGACTGCTGTTCCTTGTAATTTTGGGGAGGGGGAGGGAGACAAGTTTGTTTTTTTTTTTTCCTTAAAGGAAGATTACTAAATGGAAGCATGTTTTTTTGATCTAAGAAATTGAAGACTGATTTTTACCTTTTGAACCAAGTAGACACTTGTAGCTCTGTCAGCGGCCACCTTATCCAGATGGGATCCTTCGGGAACAAAGTAACTCACATCAGCAATGTGGACGCCTACTTCAAAGGTGCCTGTAAAAGCAGAAGGAGGACTATCAGCCTGGTTTGGAAGGCCAGGGTAACCCTCCCAGGAGTCCTCTAAGAATGCATGTCACTCCCAGAGGCCACAGGCCCTGAAGGACAGGCTGCCATTTTCTGCCTTGCCAGATACCCCTCCTAACCCCAGTGACCCGCACCATTGTCACTTTCCTTATCATACACCAAAAGATGGTGGGATTTTTATTATGAACAGACAAGATAAACCATTTTCTCAAGGTTTTCTTCCATTTCTAAATGTTTCTAATCTTCAAATAAACATCAGCAAATTCACAGAAGAAATCTTATTTAAAATGTCCTTACAACACTTCTTAAAATATATGTATTGCTCATTCTAGATGATAAATAAAACACTTTCAGGTCACTACAAGAGAGCTAATCCCCAGATCCTTTAAGACTCTGCTCTAAAAGCTTTGCCTTCCATCCATCCCCATGGCCCCTCATCTAGCCCTCCAGACTGTTGCTGTAATCATTCTACACATGCTGCTCCTTAGCCTGCCCCTCACGTCCTTGCATAATTTCACCCCAACCCACCGTCAGCCTCAGGGCCTATCCTCCGGCACACTCTGGAAGCAGCTGTCATGGGAACCTCTTTCTACTCCCTGAATGCATCTTACCTCACCGTGCCCTGACGCTCACTGGGTTTCATGCCTTTTCCCATGATTGGGATAATCTTAGCAAAGAGAATTCCCAGCAAGAAGAGATTCTTTTGCCCTTTTTTTTTTTTTCCCACCTGTGCTGTTTAAGCACTGTGTACCTGATGCCAACCATGGGCTGTCTCTAGGGCTGTATCTCTACTGGATGTCATAGGATTTTCATTTGCTTATGTGCATCTTGTCTAACTCTCTCTCTCCCTACAGGGTAAATTTAGCCAGTATGGCTTTTCCTGCAACATTCCTGCCCGGTGTGTGGACAGTGCCTGGGTAAGTACTTATGAAATAACCTGTTGAGTGACAAAGCTAATAGTCAGTAGGTCAATAATTGGTTTGTTTGCCTGTTGTTTTTTCCCTCCACTTTTCTCTTTTTTTCCTTTGCAGTGGAGGGAGGTGTCTTTGATAGGCTCTTCTTTCCCTACTAGTTATTCCAGAGAGGTGAGATCGCCCTACCTGGTGGAACTTGTACCTTAAATAGAGTTGGAGAGGCATTTAGGTTACAAAATTGAGAACTACTCTTGAATATCCTGTATATCATCTATCAAATATGGTGTGAATATAAATATAAATATAAATACAGACGCAAGACACACACATATATATATATAATACATCATACATGTGTGCTTATGTATGTATATGTGAATGAACTGAAGATACAAGCATAGGCTTGGAGATGCTTCAACTGAAGTATACACCTGCTGCAATTCCACTACCCTACACCCCTGTTGACAATATCTGGTCTCAGCATAGGCCTGTGACTCAAGTAGGTTTATTCTGAGACTGTTTCTGGGAGGGAAATGGACTTTAAAAAGAGGTTCTCTCTCCTGGCATCCCAGACACTAAGGATCGCATAAGCCTGGAGCTGCCAGGAAACACCTTTGCTATACACTTCATAACAGAGAGAGGTGCCTTGCAATAGGACCTTTCTTCTTACACTGGTAAGAGAGGTGGCCAGAGAGGTGGCCAGATCACCCAATCAATATAGATCCACCAAATCACTCAGGCCAGTAGAGGAAATCATGAGTCTAAAAGAATTACCATGGCTTTATCTGAACTTCAGGATCCAGCTGAAGCTGAACCAATTCCCTTCCAGTTCTTTGACTCACTCAGGAGCCCTGCCTGACCCTTGCTGACTGGAAGAGCTTACCAACACATTGCCACTTGCTCCTCTGGTGAGCTGGATTATCAGTCCTAAGGCATCAGATATTTTATCTGCAAAATTTGTATCTGCAATGCAAAGTTCGTGATTCTTTTTATCCTCCTACTCCTTTGTCGCTGGCGACAGTTGTTCCCCTCAGTTTTTAAAACATGGATGCTTGAAATAAAGGGTTCAGACAAGGAAAAGAATTTCAGATTTCCCCCTTCTTCATCTGCTCTTGACACGGAGACCCTAATACAGGGCTTTTTTATTTTTATTTTTTCCTCCTGCTTGATCCTATAGCATTTCTACATTAGGGAAAAGCAAAGTTTATCTAAAAGAGCCTGGTGCAACGGGGTGGTCCCACAGGCCTGTCTCCCACAGGAAGAGCTGTCTGCAGAGCTGGGAGAAACCAGTCTGGCCCTAAACCTGGTGGCCTCGCTGGACCAAGCATGCAGCTGTGCCGTAGGGTCACTGGGAGTAGTGATCAAGGAATTCGATCCCCAGTGGCTGCAACCAGAGTCTCAGATGGCTAAGCTTCTAGTTTTGATATTTCAAGTATCTAAAACCAACACTTGAAGAAGGTAAAATAAAGTGTCTTCTTTTGAAGTCAGGATTATAGTATGTTGGCCTCACAAGTAAATATTGACTAAAGGAAAAGAGAAAGGGTTATTACATCATGAAATAAACCATAATTTTAAATTTGGGCTCTGTTGTTACTACACATGAACTTTCTGTCCTTATGAAAATTGACAAACTGACAAAGAGTTCATTACAAGAGATAAAACATGACAGAGGCCAATCAAAACCTATTCAAAAGGCTTCAATTTCACTCAGAATTCCCAGCAGAGCCTCTAAAACCAGCAAAGAGACACTTTCTTATTCTCTGCTTATGACATTTTTATGGAAACCCTAAGTAAATATTTTATTACATATATTTACATAATGTGAACTTGCAGAACTCTTGAGGTAGTGGCACTGAAGTTTTAATTCTGTGAAAGAGAATAAAAAAACTCCAAAAGGTTCTACAGCATATGCTGCCATGACATTGAGGATGAACGTGGCATGTTGAAAAATACTCTCTTTTAATCTCATTAAAGGAATATAAAAGCATTTATTTAAATTTCTTTTTAACTTAAAAATTTTACACATACTGGGGATGAGGGGAGCCCCATGAAGTTTTGAAGATCAGTGGAAGCAGAGACAGGAAGGATCTCCAAGGCTGGCCAGGGGTCCCCAAGCTCAGAGGAATACAAATAATACTCCTCTGAATGAACTTAGTACTCTATTGGAACTGCTTTGCCCAATTAAAACACCAAGGGCTTAGAAACCATCACATCCAAGTTAGCCTTCTGGCCAGTGCAGCCACTTCCCAATAGTGTCCTTGTCAAGTGGCCCCTGATGTACCCTTAGTGTGAAGAGCTTACATTGTCTGGAAGCCACTTGCTCTATTTCTGAAGAGCCCCAGTATGAAAGTGCTTCTCTGCATGCATCTGTGCATAAGCTTATGTGGAGTTGCATAAGCCCGCACTGGGCATCCCTAGGTGGAGATCCCTCTCCTAAAGGAGCTCTTGGTCTAGTAGGGTAAGCAGATACACTCACGTTGCAACCATATGATCTGATAGAAGGAAGTCACACAAGCCCACGGGAGAGGACTGCACTGCAACCTTGAGAATGTATGTAAGTGTTTTGTAATCAATGACAACTCCATGGGCTTAACACTGGCAGTGACCATTGTAACAGGGATAATCAGGACAAGAGGAGGGATCACTTATTAAATACTCCTCTGTGCCAGGGGCTTCACACACAATATAAGCTTGACAACAGTCATGCAAACCATTTTGCACAAATATACCAAATGAGACTCAGGGAACTTCCAAAGTTGCTTATCCAGAAACCTAGTCAGGAACTGATAAACCTCAGATCCCAAACTAGGTTGGATCCCAAGCTTTTGCTCCTTTTATTACCCCTCCCCTCCCCCACAGTCACTTCCAGGATAAGCGATACAACCTCATTTTTTGTCTCCAACCTCATTTTTTGTCTCCGTGGGCCACAGCTCAAAATCCCTCCCTATCTCTATGACTCAATGGAAGCCACTTTCTTAGCTTTGGATTCAGAAGTCCTTTTCCCAGCCTTGTTCACAGCCACACCCCTGTCCCTGAAGGCTCTTTTAGTTCCCACTGCCAATCTCCTTAACCACTTGTAGCAGGGCCTGATCACAGAACAACCACTAAATCATAAACTCCAGTTCTCTTTAATTAGAAGAATAAGCCCTTAAAACCCCAGTAGTTCCTTTCTGAATTTCTAGCTTAGAGTCCTCTTTAGCTGGGAGCAGAGTGATTATCTTAACTACTAAAAAAGCCCTGTGCCAGGCATGAACACTACCAGGGCTGCCACCAATTAGGGGTGGGGACATAGCAGGATTCTCTTACCTGGAAGGAGACCTGGGCTTTCAGACTTGGGTCACCTGAGCTTACCCTTACTCACCACTTAGACTTCACAGAAAGTATTCCTCTGGTGACAAAGGTTCTTCACAGAACATAATAATATGTGCTGCAACAGAGTGACTGTTTGGGTCTTCCCCAAATTCACACATGCCCAGTGTGTGTGCATCTGGAATGGGGCCTCTGGGAGCTGACCAGGCCATGTGGGCAGAGCCCTCACCAATGAGATTAGTGCCCTTATAAGAGATCCCAGAGAGTTCCCCATCCGTTCTACCACGTGAAGACACAGCAGGAAGGTGCCATCCATGAAGCAGGAAATGCCCTCACAGACACTGACTTTAAGACTGTGAACTTCCCAGATTCCAGAACTGTGAGAAATAAGTTAGCATCATTCATAAAGCACCCAGTCTGCAGTACTCTGTAAGAGCAGCATGAGTGATGCCTGCAAACCCTCTCAATCAAGAATGTAGGGGAAAACACTGCTGAATGTGCCTCATCAGCAAAAGTCACTGATGACCTGCATCACTAAACCCAAACCTGCCAGGCCTGACTTTACAGTGGCATTCGAAGCCACTTTTCCCTCATTAAGGTCCCCCTCCCCCTCTGGCCCTGAGCTCCCAGGGTCTGCTTTCTGCGGCTGCTCCTTCTTCTGCACATGTTGGTGTGCCCGGCGTCTGCTCCGCCCAGCTGCCTTCTCTTCTAATCCCACTCTCTCAGGGATTAGACAGTGTCTGACTG